TAGGGCTGTAATATTTTAGTATGTTCTATGAGATCATGACATTTTTATCGAAAAAAGTTTCATAAAAATCGGCATAAATACATTTTTCAACAGTTAATTACAAGACAACGATTCTTGGTCGATCTTTATCTAAAACTAAACTGTATCATTCCCAACCACTATCTTTTGAACAGTTTATGATTTTTTTAAATCGAATTTGGATTGTAAGCTAAAATGTGGACGAAAAGTTTTATACTTTTTTGCAAATTACAAAGAAACAGCTAGGCCGATCGTCGTACAAAATTGAGAAACGATAGTCCTCATCGAGATGCATCGAATGGCTTTTAAAATTTTGAAATTGGTGCAGCCGTTTTTGGGAAAACGTCCATTTACGGGAAACAATATGTTCACACACACGCACACACGCATATACATTTTCTAAATTTTGTCTCATCCGATTCATAATGGCTTGAAACATCGAGAAAACATAAAATTTGCGATTGGGATTTTTTGATGAAAACAAACTTCTTCTTCGGGAAGTTAATAATTCTCCTTATATGATCTTTTGCTTATATGAAAAAAGAAACTAGAAGATTCAACCACTCGGAAGCAAACTACGCTTTGCATTGAAAATTTCTATTAATAGGATAGGCATTGATAAACCTCATGTATATATATATATATATATATATATATATATATGTATTTATATTAGGGTGGTCCTTAAAATGGTCATTTTCGAATTTCCTTGCTCCCAAGGGCTCAAATAGTTCCAAATAGATAAAAAACAATTCTCTGAAAGTTTTAGCTCTTATTAACGTTTAGATAGAGCGCAATTCGATCAAACTTCGTATGGAAAGAGCATAGAAAAAATTTTGAAAATTGAAAAAAAATGTTTTAGGTATAACTTTGCGACAAATGAATAGGTTTTATTCATTCATTTGTTCGCTAAATTATATCTAAAAAACATTTTTAAAGTTTTTGAAAATTTTTCTATGCTATTTCCATACAAAACTTTGATTGAATTGCGCTCTATTTAAACGTTAATATTAAGAGTTAAAATTTTCAGAAAATTGTTTTTTATCTATTTGGAACCATTTGAGCCCCTTAGAGCAAGAAAATTCGAAAATGACCATTTTAAGGATCACCCTAATATATATATATATATATATATATATATATATACACATATATATATATATATATATATATATATATAAATTTTATTATGTGGAATCGAAATAGAAATTATCTAGTGTTCAATCCCGTAAGCGCAAACCTACAAAAGTTTGAATTATTAGGAATTATTGACGAAAAATAAAAAAAAAATAGATATAAATTAGAGAAAAATGGAAAATGAGAAATCAGTGCTCAGGAAAAGGCTTATTTTACGACCGAGAAACTGAATTGTAACTTTTGTTTTTGTTGAAAATGTGTTGCATCTGATGAAATTTGAACGTTGAAGACATACGTGATTAGGTTTATGGAAATGGAGCAAATATGAAAAATGGAAGCAAAATGTACCTAGAAACTAAAATCGTGAGCTTTTTTTATACCTAGTGGTGTCCATACTAAATTTAATTATTAACTAATCAAAAATGTTATAGATAAAAATATAATTGTGTTTGTTTTGTTTTCAATATGTTTCAGGAAATATGTACTTTCTTTACATATTTTGAAATACATTAAAAATTTAATTTTAAAACAACAATCTGATACTCTGAATCTGATGGGAAAGTGAAGATGAAGGGGGCGCTAGAACAAATCTTGCATGCGGGCGCTGAGGATCCCAGAACCGGCCCTGCATATATATATATATATATATATATATATATATATATATATATATATATATACGTATATATCATTATATGTTTGTCATGTTAAAATAATTGCTTAAAGACCTCAATGCTTATTGAGCGTAAATCCTTAATATACAAAAACATTTATGTATTGGAGAGACATATATATATATATATATATATATATATATATATATATATATATATATATATAAATATAATTTTCATATCCCTAAGTGCTAAGGATTGGCTTCGAAAATACAAATAGAATTTTTCCCTGTTATTTCCATAAGTAACTTTGGTTGGAATACGATCTATATTAAAGTTAATATTAAGAGTTAAAACTTACAGACAATTTTTTATAGCAAATATATTCAAAAATATTCATATTAAGGACCACCCAAATAGATATATAATTTCCATTCAAATCAGCTGCTTTTCGGCAATAATAATAATGGGAACACGGATGAAGCAATTTGAATAATTTAAAAAACATTCGAATCGTATTGATAAGGAGGAGACGTGCTGATTAGTTTTTGGCGGAGGTTGGTCCAGCCGTTCCAAAGATATGGGGCAAAAAGTGCCAAAAACGGTACCTCAGTTTTTAAGAGAACGGAGCGTTCGATTTTAATAATTCAAAAAACTTTTGTTTTGTATTGACAAGATGAAGATTTGGTCAAATTTTCATAAGGGCAGGTCTAGCGGTTTCGGAGATCTAATGAAAAAAGTAAAAAAAAAGCCATTTGGCGGTCAAAAATGATCATTAGACATATGCACATCAAATTATCAGATACTTTATAGAGATTTTAACAATAAGCATAAATTTTGTTTACATTTCTATGGATTCCGTACCAATGTTTACCCGTTAGACAGCGACGCTGCGCTTACGCGCTTTATATTTTGTCTCTATGCAGTTAAAGCAGTACGATTGCTTTGAAAAAAAGTTCAGATCCACCAACATATGTCAAAATAAAGAAAACATTTTTTTTTTCAAAAAAAAAAGACTTAAAAAAATTTTTTTTTTTTAATTTTTTTTCAAAAAAAAGTACTTTTTTGTCAAATTTATAGTTTCTCAAAAATCTTATTTTTTCGAAGTAATTTTTTTTCAAAAATGTTAATCGTTTTTAGAAAAATAATAATTTTTGGTACGGGAAGTTCCAGCAATTTGCCTTAAGGCACGATGCCCTAATTGCCTTAAGACAGAATTCCACTTACAGCTAGTTTTGTACTAATTTGCACCACTAATAAAAAATTTGTACTACGAGCCGTTTAAAAAAAATACGTGGCGCTGCTAGCTTTAATATTAAGCTAGAAAGACCACTTTTTGTTTTTGAAGAAAATAAATAAAATTAAACGGAAACCGATTAATTTGAATTTGTACTAATTTGCACCACCAAAATTAAACCAAAAAAATCGAAATCAGCTACTAAAATCAGTACCCCATGACGGCCGGACCGCCCTAATATGAGATGTTTTGTGAAGATAGGTATATAGTGCAGAAAAAAGCCTGTATTGAGGTCAAAAAAAAACAAAATATTCTTTGATAATAATATTATGAAATCACTGATTTTTATAAAAATTACTACCACCGTTTTGTCACAAATCATCCCTAAAATAATGTTAAGGCATTTAGTACGGAAAAAATTAAATTGAACTAATATTAACAAATTATATCAAGACATTATAAGCAATATAATATTTAGTTTTAAATTACTTAATATTATCACCATGTGCTAACTTATTTCGATTTGTAGATCACAAGAATTGTGTATGTTTGACCACAATCATTCTATGATTCTCTGGAGCAACTGCATTGTACACGAACATAGCATTGGTGACGTATCACCATTTAATAATATTTCCCTTAGTGTTCAGCATAATTTAATACTAATTTCTGTATATTACAGGTGCAGGTATGTTTGAGTTTGGGATTTGAACAGTGAATTTACTCAAGTTATTAATTGATTGATACTTCTAGTTTTTGCTTTCTTTTTTTTACAAATTTGCAAAATCATTAAAGCATTAGCTTTTACGATTCAAATAACCATTTTCATGATTTGCATCCATTTAATAATACTAACAAACACTAATCTATTTAACTACTAAAAATAATGTGGTCATTTGAATCTTTTAACTATATGCAATGTGAATTTGACGTGTTACATTAAATTTAAATTTTCACTGTTTTCAATTCATGTTGATGCATTTCATATAAAACCATTTATTTAACTACTAAAAAATAATGTGGTCATTTGAATCTTTTAACTTTATGCAATGCGAATAGTTGTGAATTTTCGTCACGTCAAATTCACTGCAATGTGAATTTGACGTGTTACATTAAATTTAAATTTTCACTGTTTTCAATTCGTGTTGATGCATTTCATATAAAACCAAGTGCATTTATTAAACCTCTAGTAAATTTCTACATTATATTTCTGAGCATCAAGATGAAATTACATGGAGGCCACAATATATCATACTCAAACAAATGGTTGACTTTTGAATAGTCAAGTATCGAGTGAAAATGTAGTTTACATTCAATTTAATATTATTTATGAATAATACTTCATATATTCTATAATAAATTTGCCGAATTGTGACATTATAATTTCTGTTTCAGGCATATTCATGTCACTGTGATTTTGTAAACATTGACAACAGCTCCATTTTAATGATTATAGAAAGAGGACTAAGAAGTTTGATAGATTTGAATTTACTGCAACAATTGGATTTCAAATGTCCCTCGTGTGATAGTGGTAAACTAGCTAAAGATACTTTTCAAGTAAGTTTCTAATGATCAATCAATCAAGTAATTAGCTTAACATTGTTTTTATGTTATTTTTTTCTAATATTTAATTTATTTTTGCATATATTTTAGATGTATGTAAATGGATTTAGCATGACAGTAAGTTTCTATCATTCACTTTTTAAATCTCATTTGAATAATTAAATTTGTTTTCATTAAAGATTCCAACTCTACGCAGAATCCATCGCGAGGAATTTTTTGGTAATACATTAACAATGTTATGAAATCCCTATGCAACATTAATGCATTAATATTTTTTAATTACAGATCCTGGTCCTTCAACTGCCAATTCAAAAATGCAAGAATCTTCATTTCGACTGCTTTACTAGGAATCTCTCCAGGAACATTGTATGAGGCGTGTCTATCTATAACTAATATAAATGCAAACATTCCTAAACTGATTTTTTTTTCAGGTCCTTTCAACTACTGCTGCTCTGCACACTGACTCCTTCACCAAAAATCCTTCCAGAAACATTTCACCAGGTATGTGTTAATCCATAACCAGTATAAATGCAAACATTGCTTAAATGTTTCTTTTTTGCAGATCTTCTCAATCCAACTATTACTAGCTGTAACATCAAGACCTTGGAATGCCCATTCATTTGAATGACTCGCAAATGTTTTTTTTTTCAATAACTGCCTCTAATTATGCATGATTAACTCAACTTAACTCTTACTAACTCAATAAAATGACTAACCTCACTAACTTAATCAGTTATTATAAAAACCACTTATTGAGTTTTACTATGAAGATCGTACTGAGGGTGCTTGAAAAACACAGCTGAATGATAAATCAGGTAATTTATTATTATAGTATATTTTATGAGACTTGTTACTGATTCATTGTTTTTGCTTATAGGGTAAACGACAACTTAAGACCAAGTAGTCTTCAACTCTCAAGTCACTCAAGGCTTGTTCTTCGGCGAAAATAGTCGCCTGATATACTAATTATGATGTCCCAAGTAACTATCTCCGACTTGTCGTCAGAGAAGGTGTCTACTGTGATATATTGAATAGTTAAGTGCGTACATGTTAATTAAATAATGAACTAGCTGTAAGTGGAATTCTGTCTTAAGGCAATTAAGGCATCGTGCCTTAAGGCAAATTGCTGGAACTTCCCGTAACAAAAATTATTATTTTTTTTTAAAACGATTAACATTTTTGAAAAAAATTTACTTCGAAAAAATGAGATTTTTGAGAAACTATAAATTGGACAAAAAATAACTTTTTCTTGAAAAAAAAATAAAAACTTTTTTTTTTTTTGAAGAAAAATGTTTTCTTTATTTTGACATATTTTGGAAGATCTAACCTTTTTTTCAAAGCAATCGTACTGCTTCAACTGCATAAAGACGAAATGTCAAAGCGCGTAAGCGCCGCGTCGCCGTCTAACGCGTAAACATTGGTACGGAACCCATAGGAATGTAAACCAAAATTATACTTATTGTTAAAATCTCTATAAAATATCTGATAATTTGATGTGCATATGTCTAATGATCATTTTTGACCGCCAAATGGCATTTTTTTTTACTTTTTTCACTAGATCTCCGTAACCGCTAGACCCGCCTTCATGAAAATTTCATCAATTCTTCATCTTGTCAATACAAGTAAAGTGTTGTTTGAATTATTAAAATCGGACGCTCCGTTCTCTTAAAAACTGAGTTACCGTTTTCGGCACTTTTGGCCCGTATCTTCGGAACGGCTAGACCTGCCTTCGCCAAAAACTAATCAGCACGTCTCCTTATCAATACGAATCGAATGTTCTTTGAATTATTCAAATCGGTTGATCGGTGTTCCCGAAATCGTCGACGAAAATTTGTATCCGCACATACATACACACACGCACATACACACACACATACATCCATTTTTTCTAAGGTATGCTAAAATATTCAGAAACCTTTGAAACGTCGAGAAATGCAAAAATTTTCATTTTCGATTTTTTTGCGATTACTATAACTTGCCCTACGGGAAGTTAATAAATATATTGTATTTAATTTAATTTGTTTTAATTTAATTATAAGCCACTTTACGGCCAAATTATATTATGCTGCAACGTAAATTACAAAATGTCTAAATTTTAAAAATTTCTGTGTTATTAATGGGGATACTTATTGAGTGCACTTTTTAGTGTAGACAATTGTGTAAAACAGTTTGTTTACAGTTTGGGTGTTTACAACCATCTTGCCGCATCTTAGTTAAGCTTCTTATACCTTTTCTTTGACTCGTTAGAAAAGCGTTGACAATACACATTGCTTTTTTGCAAACCCTTATGTTAGTCGAGTGCCTTAAACATTTAATACGTCGGACCAATGTTTTCTCTTGTTTAAACATTTTACTTTCTATTATTTCTTTAAATAGTGCACTTTTTTTCTTAGCTATAAATATTGCTTAATTTAATGTCATATCGTGTTATTATCATTATATATACTATAATATATATTATACTATTAGATAAATGTTAATGTATTTTAATTATTTTTATTATTGCAATTGTAAGAATAAATTAATATAATTGTATTATTAAATAGTGTGATACATTGATTGGAAGTTATGAATAAAACTAACTAAACTTTATTTGCCGTGTTTCATTTCACACCTTTTCCAGTGATATACGAGGTGTGGCAATTAAGTAATGAGACTGATTATTTTGCCGCGATTGTGACAAACCTACAACTTTAAAATTGCCTTTTCCTTCTCCCGGCATCCTTCCCCTCTTTATTGATGTATTTTTCATATCCCTGGCTAGTTAGTTTGCCCGCTCTGCCTTGTTGAGTAAACGTGTGTTCCTGGTGCTCGTCACGAAAATGAAGAAACAAAATAAACAGCGATAAAATTTTAGGTAAAATTGGACGAAACAGCTTTGGAAACGTACGCTAAAATTGTAAATATGCAGGATAATAGTGCTCTTAGTTGTGCCCAGGTATTTTGATCACATGAGAAGTTTAAGGAGGGGCGTGATAACGTGGAAAACGAGGAAGGTGAAAACGGAGATGATTGTCTGTTTTGATACCCGTAAAATCGTTTACAAAGAATTTGTTCAATTTGGGGAAAACCGTAATCAAGTCTACTATCGCTAATTACTCGAAATGTTACGAAAACTTCAACAGGATGCACTCAGACATTGTCCATAACTGGATCCTCCATCACGATAAGGCGCCGTGCCATACCGCCCTCAGCGTATCCCTGTATTTGGCCTCTAAAGGGATCGTCGTGTTGCAGCAACCGCCTTCTTTGGCCGATATGTCACCCAGTGACTTTTTTTTGTTTCCCAGAACAAAATCGGTGGTGCAAGAAGCCCATTTTGAGTCGATTCAGAACATCTAAGCGGACGTGACGAGGGTACTTGTAGACCTCCCAGTATAAGCCTTCCAGAAATGTTACGAAGCATGGAAAACGCGCATGACAAGTGCATGACAGAGTTGTAGAATAATTTTAAAACATACGGTTTTTATTGAATCAGTCTCATTACTTAATTATAAACTGATAAGCTAATGTAATAAACATTAATATACCCATTAATTCGTTCTTTGAAGTGGATTTAATATTTTGAATAAATTTCATATAATATAATTTTTGTAATCTAATTCTATCATGATCAATAAAGTTAATGTAATATATAACTTTTACCATTTTAAATATACTATTAAATTATAAAATTAAATAATTGACAAACATGTCAAAAATATTAACATTTTTCACTCACTTATATTATTGAAAGTGTTAATTAGTATTGTAAGTGTAAAACTAATTAAGTTTTGATTAAAAAATTTCAGTAAAATTATTAATCAAAATGTAACAATTATATATTAATTAATATCATTATTGTATCACTATTTGAATTAAATAATTAGGTACGGTGCAAATAAATTTTGGTCAAAAAAATTTTATGGAAAAAAAATTGTGAAAAAAATTTTTGGTCAAAAAAATTTGGGAAAAAAAAATTTTTTGGAAAAAAAATTTCGGGAAAAAAATTTTTGGTCAAATAATTTTTCGTAAAAAAAATTTTGGAAAAAACATTTATTTGACTTAAATTTTTTTGAGAAAAAAATTTTGTGTCCAAAATTTTTTTTGGAACAATAATAATAATTTTAATTAATATATAATTGTTACATTTGGTTTAAAGAAACGTATGGGTAAATTTTACTGTGAACACGGTGAAATACTAGTCAGCCTGCCAGTTATTATTAAACATGGAACGAGATGGCGCCAAACATAAATGCATTCGGCATTTATTCATACAGCACACGCTTCGAATACTCCAAGGGTGATTATGAAATAACGACCTAGCAGCTGTTTGATTGCAGTTAGTACAATATACTGAGTGTCAACTCAACTTTTTGTTTGGTTTCATTTTGTACAAATGAGCAATCAATTGCTTGTGCCAGGAGCAGAATCTAATTGGGTCGTCTCATCTGGACTTTTTTTGGATCCCAAAATTTTTTTGACCTAAATTTTTTTTCCAAAAATTTTTTTCTTCCCAAAATTTTTTTGACCAAAAATTGTTTTCCCAAAATTTTTTTGACCAAAAATTTTTTCACACATTTTTTTTTCCAAAAAATTTTTTTTCCAAAAGTCTTTTTTTCCAAAAAATTTTTTTCACAAAAAATTTTTTTCCCAAAAATTTTTTTTTCCAAAGAACAGTAATTTTTACATTAATATTCCTACCATATTTACGCTACCATCTCTGACCTTACTTTTCACTACTTTACCTTAACTTTACACTACCTTAATCTAATGCTTACCTACGTTAAAAACTGATATTCTTACCTTGCTTACCTCTCCACGGCTCGAACCTGCTACCCCGTCCTCTCCAGCGACTCCCACCTCCTAACCCGCGACGCCACGACGATCACATTCATAACCTGTTACAAACTAGGCGATAATGTATATTTTAAACGAAAAAAAACTAACAGGCCATATGGCCAACAAAAAGTTGGCTTGGTATGGGCTGTGTTGGCGTAATTGGTAGAGTGATGGCTTCGTACCAAAGGGGTACCGAGTTCCAATCATACCTCAGGACAAAAAACAGTAGTGTTGTTCACGTTGTGGTGTTTACTTATGTTGAATAACATAAAGTTAATATTTAGATATAACAAACTAACAAGTCATAAGGCCGAAAAAAAGCACAGTCGATGTGGCCTGTGTTGGCGTAATTGGTAGAGTGATGGCTTCGTACCAAAAGGGTACCGAGTTCGAATCATGCCTCAGGACAAAAAACACTAGCGTCGTTTACGTTGTGGTATTTACTTACTGTTGAACAACATAAAGTTAATATTTAGATATAACAAACTAACAAGTCATAAGGCCGAAAAAAAGCAGAGTTGATGTGGCCTGTGCTGGCGTAGTTGGTAGAGTGATGGCTTCGTACCAAAAGGGTACCGAGTTCGAATCATACCTCAGGACAAAAAACAGTAGTGTTGTTCACGTTGTGGTGTTTACTTATTGTTGAATAACATAAAGTTAATATTTAGATATAACGAACTAACAAGTCATAAGGCCGAAAAAAAGCAGAGTTGATGTGGCCTGTGCTGGCGTAGTTGGTAGAGTGATGGCTTCGTACCAAAAGGGTACCGAGTTCGAATCATACCTCTAGACAAAAAACAGTAGTCTTGTTCACGTTGTGGTATTTACTTACTGTTGAATAACCTAAAGTTAATAATTAGATATAACAAACTAACAAGTCATAAGGCCGAAAAAAAGCACAGTGGATGGGGCGCGTGCTGGCGTAATTGGTAGCATGATGGCTTCATACCCAAAGGGTACCGAGTTCGATTCATCCCTCAGAACACAAAACGGAAAACAGCCGATCTGTGTTGACGTTGTGGAACGAGGCATGCACGGAT